AGACAAATTGCTTTTACTTTCTAAGCGAGAAGGAAATATTGTAATTGAGTCTATTGGAGGATTTGCTACTTTCATTATTTCTCGACGTTTCATGAGGCCTAGAGTATGAAAAAAGTGGTCTCGAGTTTCCGACAGTCTGTCGTCTGTCTGTGTACAATTTTTATTAGACAGATCTCCGAAACTACTGGACCGAGTGTTATCAAATTTTGTAGGTATATTAGGAATATCATCTAGATGGTAGTACGCTAATCAAAATTTCATCATCACTGGCATCTCCAAAATTTACAACTGTAAACATTATTTAAATTTTATAAAATAAGATATTGCTGCACTTGTGATGTATCCGTGTTAAAGTATTTTCCTTACACATCCACATTTTTGGAAAAAAAATCAAATTTGCCAAACATTTTTCAAGATAACTTTGGAACTGCAAAACCGAATGCTTTGAAATCTTACAAACGTTTTAAAGTTATTGTTAGCATGGTAAAGCGTCAAAAATTATCGTCTATCCTCTCCCAAAAAAAAATGATGACGTCATCTCAAAATTTTGCGGAATAAATCCATTTTGAAATTTGCAAAATATTATGGCTCTATACTTGTAGTTTATCAGTGCACACATAGTTTTTAGTTTAGTTTTGGTTTATACAGGGCGATAAAAATATTAATCAATGAAGCAATATATTTTATTGATTAAATCAAAAATGACTCACTACACAAACAATACTGTTGTTATTGATATTACACTGCAGATACCCAAATTAATCTGCTTGTCCTTGCAAAAATTTTGTAATGGAAAAACTCACTTGAAACAAACGCTTAACTCGCTCCTTTACGCTTATTTTTACATACATATCTTTATTTTAACTCATAAGAGTAAATAAAGGCTTATCATTTTTCTAAAAAGCTGGATTTGTTGTATTGTACTATAAATATGCTAGCTTTAGTACCAAAAAACCCTTTTTACTTTCCGAGTGTTGCTAAGGAGGTAAATATGCGGCTACTAGCTACTTTCATGTTTTCTCGACGTTTCATGACTACTAGAGTATAAAAAATACGTCTTTCGTTTCCCTCTATCTGTCGTCTGTGCCGATTTATTACGCATGTCATCTCCGAAACTACTTGTTAATTTTATAGATCTTTTAAAAATATTGAAAATATAAAGAAAATTTGGCCGATCATCCCCACCAACAATTTGCTGTCGTAACCTCAAAATTTTGCTTCATAAATTCTGTTTAAATTTGATAAAGCAATATGCTCATGTATTTATGGTTTATGAATTCGCCTTAATTTTTTACCCGCGGCGTCCCGTTTTTCCCAAAATAATTATATATAATTGTATAACATTTTATAATACTGTAAGAGGGACAGTAGCCACTCATTTGGTCATTTGTAATAACGCAAATATCGTGGGTTTGATCCCCTCATGGCCACTTTTTCTCTTACACTGTGACTGGTGTTATCTATTTTTGTTCCTAAAACTGGATTTGTGTGATTGTACTTCAGGAACGAGGAAAATTGGGTCTGGTAAGATGATATCAATTTTTACTTCCCGAGCGTAAGCTAAGAAAATATGGTAATCGAGTCCATCGGACGAATGACCACATATTTTCTCGATGACTCCTATAGCACGAAAAAGTAGTCTCCCGTTTCTGTCTGTCCGTCTGTCTGTGTGTCTGGGGTTTGTATTCATTTTTATTAGACACGTAATTTTCGAAGTTGCTGGACCAATTATATTGTCAAATTTTGTTTATACATTAGAAATATCATGCAGATGGTTAAATGCTAGCCATAATTTTGCTAATCATCCCTACCAACAATTTGATGACGTCATTTCAAAGAATTCTATGTTTATTTTATTTAACTGTTATACAACAATATACTCCTACAAGTGTGGTGTACGAATCCGCTTTGAGTTTTTCCCTGACCGTCCAAATTTTTGCAAAAACATAAAGCATAATAAGTATAATAGTAGTTTGCCATTAGCGCAAGACATCCCGATCATGGTTTAGTGGTTAAGGCTGAGGAATCCAGACCAGACGTCGCGCGTTCGATTCCCAGCTTGACCGTTTATTGTTTTTTCCTTTTTTTTATCTTTTTCTCTTGTGTATTATCTATGTTTATGACGTCATAACAAATTTTTTATTGACTAAATTAAGAACGAGTCGCCCCATTTTCTCGAAAATAAGTGATAAAATGAAAATTATTAGATTTTGTTCAACTGTGGTTTAATTAATAAGTTTAGTCCTCTGTTTTGAAAAGATAAACTCATCCAAATCAAACTAATTTCTAGGTGACATTCTTTCGATGTATAAGCATAAATAAACACTTTCTTGAACTTCAAATTGCTATCACCTAGTGCTGAAGGATATTTTATCCCGTTAGTTAAGTGCTTTAAATATAATACATATGCGAGGGTGTTATTTGTGCCGCTGGTTTTTACTTTACAGCGGTTATTTCAAAACCAAAATCGTAAAATCAAATTTTATAATATTATTTATTGCGATTTAGTGAGTTATTGGAATAGTTGAAGCAATTTGTTTATAACCACGATATATATAATATAGGAAAAAAAAAGTTAGGTAATTATTTTCCTAAAGCAATAAAAACATAAGACCAGAACAAAAAACAGTATAGGTTGGTCATTTAAATCTGGCGTCAGCTGGCACTATAAACAAAACCGGATATCGTAAATTATTACTTCTGGTGTTAAATCAGATCTATCACATTAAATTGGCATAGGAATTAAAACAAAAACTTGATATTTGAAACAAGTTACAACACTTTATCCTTTACAAGGAATTAAAAAAAATCTGCTCTGTCTCTCCAAGCTGTCGTTCCATTGGTTCGATTTTTAAATCGTGATCGTGACGTGTGACTGACAGCCATAACTAACCTAAGATCGTGCAACTAACAAAAGACAATCAATCAGTTGCTAACTAGCTCAGACACACGACTTTTTGTCATGCCTTCCTTTGATGCGAAATTTAGTGATTGATCGACTCATATATATGTGTAATGAACTAATTAGAATGACTAATGAATAAAACGCTGAACGCATTCACATTAAAAAGTACCAATATTGTGATAAAACTGTCACTTCTTGTGATATTACCAGTAGGCGGAAATTTATCTTACGGATGCAATTCCCCAGTTGAAGCAAGGTGTGTTTTACGGCGAGTAGCGGGGACGCTTTGATCTGGTCCACAAGGTCGTAGCCAGTGCGTCGCTAGGAGTGTTTACAGCTTGTTAAAAAACTACTTCTATATTACTATATTACTTAAAAAAATAATACTTGATGCCCTTTTTAATTTTTCAAACACAGGACCACAGATTTGTGATCTTGAAATGTTATATTATGTTGATATAGTCCAAAAGAAAAATATATTTGTAATCAAAGTATCGCCGCGACAGCACTGGATCTAGCGTATGAAACACAATTCCGCCCGTTGGATATTACTTAGAGATATACCTCATTTTTTTTTTGTAACTGTCTCCATCCATTTGTTTTGATTTAAAGGCAAAAAAGTATGTATGGAAAATCACTTTAGAAATTTTTTGAATATTTTTACTTCTCGAGCGTAGGATAAATATTATAATACGGTCCATCCAGCGAATGTCTATTTCATGTTTTCTGGACGTTCCATGATCCCTAGAGTATGAAAAAAATAGACCCCCAATTCCATTTGTCTATCTGTCCGTCATCTGTGTTGATTGCCATTATTAGATAGATAATCTCCAAAACTACCGGACTGACTGTTGTCAAATTTTATTTATTTTATTAAAACGATAACCAAAATTTGTCTGATTTGAAAATGACAAAACACCTGTAGCGTCGGACATTTGCATCTAGTTTAACCCGCTTGATTTGTAAATGGATAACCTACTGTTTCATTTATAGATAACATTTAAGCTTTGTCGTTCGTCAACAAGTTAACACCTCTCAAATTGTTTTCATAAGTTGTAATTCAAAATCATAAGCAAGCTGTGTTGTGACATCCATGGAATTTTAAATTAAACGTTATATTAAATATTGAACGAGACGTAAACTGGCCCCAGAAACTGACCGCAGAATTTTTTTTATTTCAAAATATATGTAACAAATCAATAAATAAGTGACCACGTAGTTTCAAAATCCCAGTAACGCAAATCAAAAAATCCACCATTATTTACTTACTTTATTACGTTAAGGGAATTTTTATTCGCATATTACGCTGTGGAATCTAGCTCTCATTTCGCGTTTCCTCACTCGCCACATAATTGTGGTAGCGCAACAAATTACGATAATAACCCAATAAAAAGCTCACTTTAAGAAATTATTCCGGGCATAAATCCGCCAAAATTACAAGTTGCGCCGTGCATTACATCCTTCAAAGTGTCGAATAATTCAGAGACGTCTCCACAAAGCAACCAAATAAAAAACCCGTTAAAAACCTCGTTATTCCGGACGCTTTCTTCTAAGTAGTGCTTTCTTCGGCAATAAAGCAATTAATAACGTGCTTAGTCCGGTAATAGCGTTTTGGTATTATTAGAGAACGAGCCAAATTACACGGTTGGATGGTGTTACGATGCGTAGACTATCATTATAGCCGCAAATTATTGTTGTCGGCAAAGGGAATCTGCTGCATTTACGTAACGCGAAGAAATGATACGTTTAAGGTTCGCGTTTTACGTAATCTTGAGGAGCCCCAGGTCTGTCCTTGACGGACCTATGGGAAAATTTTCCACGCGGAGTTTCACTTTGTGGGGTTTTGGTTTGAAACTGAGAACAAAAAAGCGGTTTAGGAGCAATTATAGAGAAATTTGGGTTTCTTGGAGGTTAACGAACAATTCGGGCGCCGCACGGCTATTAACGAGAAAAGAACAAATTTTATTTCAGTTTTATGAGTTTAATAATTAGAAACAAGAATCTTGGAGTTAATTTAGAGCGAGAAAAAGTAAATCATTATAAAAACCCGGTGCAACTCTTTCTTCAGTTTATTACATAGAAGTTCTTTTTTCAGGGAACAGTACCTTTTCAACGTATTCGAAGCCATCATCTCCACGCTCGACTCCAAACTACAAAGGATAGAAAACTTAGACAAAGCAGTTGAACATTTAATGCGAAGAGTCGAAGGTTTAGATAACCGAGTGAACAATAACATCGACAAAACTGAATCTGTAATCGCAAAACTTGCTCTTCTTGATTCCAAACTCTTCAATTTCGATCCGAAAAAAGTAGACATCGGTCAAGGTGACAACGCAAACTTAGGTCGAAGATTAGTGTCGCTAGACCAAAAAGTCAGCGACATTGACAATAAGCTCAACGTCTTGAAAAATCAGCTCGACAATAATTTCCTTCAAGGTGAAGACATAAATGCCGAAGCTAGCGAAAAGAAACCAGTTAGCATGAACGTCGTCGAGATCACTAAAGCGCTTAATACTGAAGTAATCAGTCACGTAAGTAAAGAACTGGGACAATTAAGAGAAGCTACACAGCACGTTGATGAGAAACTCCAGTACCATATCAACTTGGTGTCTGAAAATTTTGGAAAAATGTTGACGATGATAACTGATGTTCACCATGCTATTGTCGACGATATGACGTTCAGCTATTACAATAAAACCACGACGCCTATTCCAGAAGTGGTCAAAAACAACAAAATCGATGCTTTGGTTCAGCAAATGCGACCCATCATTTCCGTTTCTGAGAAAATGGATGAAGTTTGGGACGTGGTAGTCGGTACAAAATCTTCAGTTGACGATTTAGTCCCAAAATCTGACGAACTGTTGACGCAAACCCAACGACAAGAGCGCGCGATTGGTGAAATTCATAGCGACCTTAGGACGAAAACGAACAAGATAATCGCCAATTTAGATAAAGTGGAGAAGAGATTGAAAAAACAGGAAGACGACGTAGCTACGTTAGCTCAGAGACCCGTTCCTGCAGAACTCCTTCTGGATCCCACGATTGACAGATTGGTGGAATATGACCCTAGTAGATACGTCGAAGAATACGCAACTGATACCACTCTTCCTGTGACTTTTACGACGTTACCACCACCGACATCCATTACTCAAACTTCGTCAACTCTGAATCTAAGTAGCACGACTCCTATGACACCCGCAACGCAACAAACGACGGAAAAACGAGCAGAGAAGAGAAAGAGTGGTCTTATCTTCCCGAGTGTGAAGAACAAGCCATCGCCTGCTAACACGACGTTTGCTTCGGAGCTTTTAGCCAACGTGAAAGATGTAAAGGTAAGTTTTAAGAAAAATTGTTCCGAAATCTGGTCGGCATTTCCGTTACTCAAAATCGATAGCTCAATTATCGGCGTCCAATAACGTCATTGATTTTAATGGTAACTTTCCCCGAATTAAGAGTCCAATTACCGTAATATCGCCAATAAGACATGTAGTGAATGCAGCTAATTTACCACTTTGAGGCACCGTTATTGGACGAACGCGGTCCCTTTGTTTCATTTAAGCGCATTTATTTAACGCCGCGCGAGATAAAAAGCCAATTTCCGGCGAAAGTGATTTTTCTTCACGGACCATCTGGCCGTGTTTTCCTAAAACAATGATGTAACGCGGCTTCTGCCGAAATTATTAATTATGGTGCAGCAGTAAATGTCACGCAATGGTTTCATAATTTGTGAATAATTAATTTGGAAAGGGAAGCTGAATTTGAAGGGAAACAGAAAATATCAAAGGTGGTAGCCGGCGATTAATTTACAATTTTCGTGAAGATGGCATAATAAATTGGTGGCTTGTTGAGATTTTAATTATATATTAATTTTTTAATTTTGCAAATTTAACGCTCATAAATGTCAAAAGATAATGTGGAAACCAACTGTTAAAAAACATAATGATAATTTGGTGATTTAAATTATGGCGCTTAGAAATTTTTGCAAAATCTGCATTCTTGTTTTACTAATTTGCTTTTTCGGGAATTTATTGTAATTACATAAATTTCTAACGTCGATTTATGGCGGCTTTTTACATTTTTTCCAGTTTCCAAAATAGCAACTTGTCAAGTTAGGGTTTTAATTAATGCTTAACCACAATTTTCGACATGTAGTAGCACAACATTTGTTAACGAACCCATATTTTTAGTATTCACACAAAAAATGGACAAGATTAGGCGCGAGATAAAATTAACTTGCAAAACGAAACACAGTTCCCGTAACACAGACAAAATTTTTAACTAATTCTGCATAATTCCTTTTTAACTGTTTAGAAAAGGGACAATTAAACTAATTTTTTTAAAATCCTACGTATGGTTATATACACCAAGTTCAGATAATGGATAATACATGATATAATCCTAAGCCTCAAATCTATACGAAGAAATACATTAAGTTTAACCCCCTTTTAAGTTTTTAATGTTGTTTGTGATATGGTGCAGTTAAATGAAGTTGATTTAAATTTACTACAAAGAAATTACAATGACTTAAGCGATGAAACCAGATTTATAGAGTTACAAAAGACTTCAGATTTAGTGCAAGTGAATGCTTAGTCTGTGGCGTTTTCCGTGTCTGTGACCCTATGCAAATGTCTTCCTCAGCTCCATTAAAGATGAAAATAAACACATGCGCTACATGTTTCTACAATAATATGCATTTGCATTCCGCTCATTTGTAACACAAATAAGAATAAACACAAAAACTACATTATGTGAAGTATTATGTAAGTAAAACTTATTTAAAACACCTTTACATGAATATTTATTAATACTCATTGTCATTTTACAACATCATTAGCATAAATTCATTTAAAAAAATGAGATATGTGGTTATAATAATATACAGTTAATAAACGGTGCTTAAAAGACGCCGCAAATTTAATGAGATAATACAGTATTTCGAGACATTCAAATATAAAAAATGGGTCTATTAGTGTACTGCTGTACAATATGGCGTGCAGTAAGTAAATTGCTCTGACATTAAGGTCGTGGAGCACTGAATTTCGTAACGTTAATTCGTGTTTAAAATTTCAGATTGAATTAAAACTTGTCTCTAAATAGATCTAGCATTGCTACTTTTTTTAATTGTCGTTTAAATTAATTATTTTTATTATGTTTCCACTACAAAGGACGAGTTTCTTCTTATCATTAATTTATTATTAATTTATGTCAAAACACGCTTTATTTATAGTTCCACTCATATTTGTTGATTCTTTTTCTTTACTTTGTTAATAAATATATTGTCGTCGGCTGTGTACCTTGAGTTACTTTAACAACGTACCGTTGCATGAACCATCTTACAAGATTTTCTTTTATGGCATTTTTAAACACATCCAAATCGATCTGTTTTTGTTGACTAAACCTCATTTCACTCAAAGCTTTCTCTATCTCCTTTTGTTGTTATTTAATTATTGTTTCGATATACTCGTAATCCAGTTTATAACTCCGTACTTTTCGCTTTTGTTTCTTTCCTTAGGAGTCAAGTTCTTTTTGAATGACAATTTTGTAAATAATGATCACTTTCGACTTGCTGGCCACGATAGATTCTTATATATTTTAGGTTACTCCATATCTTCTTGCCTGAAGAAAATACCAGAAGACTGACATTTCGTTTTTATGTCTAAATCTGGTATTTGTTACAACTAGTTTTTTTTTGTCATCCTCCTCCTTACATTTACTAAACGTCATCCTTTTCGTTTTGGATATTCCCATTTTTCTTCTTTTTGGCATCTCTTATTAGATTCCAAAACCCTATCAGTTTTTTCAACTGTACTCTCACATTTCAGGTTGCGATGTTAATTATTTTGTGTCCTCGTTTCTTTTCCGTGATTCGTAATCTTTTCCACTGTCTTTTCCATCATGCGAGTTTCTTGTATTTTTCAGTTATGATCAGTTTTGTTTTCTTCTTCTTCTTCTTCTTCTTAATGTTTTCTGTGAATTTGTCTTTACTTTTGTATCATTTTCAACCTTTTACGAACTTTTTCTCTTTTTGCCATGTCTGACTCTGGGTGCACTTCATGATCTTTCATATTTTTGTACTTGTTTTTATTCTTAAGAATATTTATATCTTCTTGTAAACTATTCTAATTGCTCTTTCAATATTTCGACATCATTTGTACTTACGGTTACCCTTTTCCTCACTAAGTTTTTTCTACTTTTGTTGCCTTCTCGTTTTTTTATCATTTATTTTGTTTCTTTAATTTATTCTCCATATTTCCTCTTTTTTCTATCAGTTTTTTATTCAATATCGTGATTCAGACTAAACTTTGTTTTTGTTGTTTTCTTATACTCCTGATTTCTTTCACCATTTCACCGTTTTTAGACATCATTACATACTTAGTGCTATCCCTTCTCCTATTGTCCTTTTTCAGATGGAAATCTCGGTTAATTTGTTTTTCCTAAAGAATAATTATTCTCTGTTTTTTCTTCCGCTATCGTCACATCAAGTAAAGTCCAATGATAAGTCGGAGATTTATGAAATACACCATAAAGATTGTACGATCTAAAAAATACATGGCCTATGTCAGATCAGAAATTTCCAAAATGACCATAAACTAAGATAAGATTAAGTTTGTAGTATATCTTTCCTATTTTCTTTTTCTAGTTTTTCTATCCCTTTTTTGCTTACTTTGGTTCCATTTTTTCTTTCAGTTCCTAATTCATATCTAAAGTCACTTTTTGTTCTTTTCTTATACTCTTGATTTCTTTCAACGTTTCATCGATTTTATTTTCATTACTTTCAACATGTGTAGTGAATAGTAATATTCGTTCTCAGTATTGGCTTTATTTAGATAATGATCTTTGTTAATTTGCTTTTTCCGAAATAATTCTCTGTTTCCTTCAGTCATTATCGTCACACTTTTCACTCTTGATAAAAAGCATAACGTAAGGCCCAATGAAGAGTGGAAAATTTATTTAAGAAATGTACAGATTGTATTATTGGACAAACGAAAAATCAATTTAAAGAACACATGGCTCACCTCAAATTTGGAAGATCTAAAAAATCAAGTGTTGCTCACCATACTTTTGAAAATGATCACAGACCATACGAAAAATATTGAACATTAGTTAAGTTTGTTAATAACTGTAAAATTTCTAGATATTCACGAAAGTCTAGCACTATTCAAAAAGAGAAATAATGTAATGAATTCGAATCACAAGACCATCCCATCATGGTAAGCGAAATGGTCGACAATTTTTTGTGTTTTTCAGCGCTTGTAAGGTAATAAATGTTATAACCTCACCAGTAGAGATGTCATCGGCGTACAACATGTAATACTCGCGTTGGACAAGCGTTGTGGCAATTCATTTACATGCAATAAAACAAAATAGTACCAAAAATTGATCTTTGAGAGACCCCATTGTCCATATGAAACTCCCCTGTCCTTATTTCGTCGTAAATTTATTTAAATTTTGTAAAATAACACACTCCTACAGTAGGCATCCAGATTTTACAAAAAAAATCAAAATTGCGTAACCTTTTTGCTGTATTATTTTGGGAGCTCATGGAGATTTTTTTTTGTAAATTATTTAAAACAATGTTGGGGGACTTCGGTGTTCTATTTTTGGAAAATTCTGACCTGACCTGTTTTTGAGTTCATTTTGGCACCCCGTTTTTTTTTTGAAAAATTTAAAACACTCTTGAGGTTCTAGATATTCCTGTTTGGAAAGAATTTGAAAGTGCTTTGGAGCCTTTTTTTTATAATAATTTAATTAAATTTCTTATAGAATACGTCATTTACGAAAATCAGTCTTATCTATCAGTCTACTAGCCCCGCCCACCCAACCTCTCTTTTCTTAGAGGGTATGTCATTTGCCAGAATCAATTTTATCTTAGCAGCTACTAACCCGCCCTCTCTTTTCTTAGAGGGTTTCTCATTTGCCTAAATCAGTTTTATTTTAGCAAGTACTAGGTCCGCCCACCCACCCTCTCCTTTCTTAGAGGTATGTCATTTACCAAAATCAGTTTGATCTTACCAAGTACTGATGACTAACTTTTACAAAAAAATTATCAAAATTTCGAAACATTACGAACTTACTTATATGCATAAGGCAGGAATTTTGAACATCTTCTCTAGTGTTTAGTTCGTTATGCTTTAATGGATTTTTCTTTTGTTGATTTTGTTTTTGTTTATAATTTATAAATGTCTTATTAAATGTTTTTTTTTTGGTTTATTTATTAATGAAAAATAACAGATTAATGACTACTGGTTATTATGGTTATTGTCCTAAAAAAAATAAAAGATGGATTTCTGTCACCATCCTGACTACGAAATCAGTAAGCCGGAGGTATTCA